TAGGCGTCGGGGGTCTCACCCTCCAGGTTGGAGGCTCGGGCTGTGACGACACTCGGGGCTCAGCTGTTGACCGGGTTCCACGCACAGTCTGACGCTACGGGCCTGTGAGTGGCCGGAGCTGAGTGACCCCGGGTCAGAGCTCAGGTTATGGCAAGGATTCAGTCCATGGATGAGGGTCAGGGCTCAGTCTGTAAACAAGTTCAGGACTCAGTCTCCAACCAGTGGCAGGGTTACATTCATGACTAGACGTGGAAGTTCAGTCTAAACACGGGGTCCATGTAATGTCAAGGGTTCATCTGGACTAGCTTTAGACTGTGACTCAGTCTTAGGCCAGGATCAGGCTCAATCCGGATCCAGAATCGAGGTCTCCAGTTGGGATCAGACTTAGCGAGGACTGTATCAGGCTCCGTACGTGACTGAGACAGGACTCAGCCCAAGGCCGCAGTCAGAGCTCAGTCTAGAGCTGGGATAGGGAGGCTCCGTCTTGGCTCGGGATCCGAGCTGTTAACACCACCATTGGGGCTCACGTTGGATCTGGGGTCAGGGTGAGGGTCTAATCTGGCTTTATGCTCTGTTCTGAGCTCAAGAAAAAAAATAAATAAATAAAAAACTTCTGAAAACAGGTTTGGCTCAGCGGTAGAGCGTCGGCCTGCGGACTGAGTGGTCCCAGGTTCGATTCTGGTCAAGGGCATGTACCTTGGTTGCGGGCACATCCCCAGTAGGGGGTATGCAAGAGGCAGCTGGTCAATGTTTCTCTCTTATCGATGTTTCTAGCTCTCTATCCCTCTCCCTTCCTCTCTGTAAGAAAATCAAGTGTATATATATATATATATATATATTTTTTTTTTTTTTTTTTTTTTTCTGAAAACATGGGATCCCGGGGCAGGTGGGCCTGCAAGAAAGAAGACCCCCTCATGCTGAAATCGGTTTAGCTCAGTGGATAGAGCATTGGCCCGTGAACTGAAGGGTCCCAGGTTCGATTCCGGTCAAGGGCATGTACCTTGGTTGCGGGCACATCCCCACTGGGGGATGTGCAGGAGGCAGCTGATCAGTGTTTCTCTCTCATCGATGTTTCTAACTCTCTATCCCTCTCCCTTCCTCTCTGCAAAAACATCAATTTAAAATGTTTAAAAAAGAAGAAGAGCCCCCAGCTTGTCGGCAAGCTTCTGTCCCTGCGAGGAGCCTCTCCTTGCCTGCGGAGCCGGCTGTCCTAGAGCCTTCTAACCTACATGGCTCTTTTGCCTGCGATCCCCTCGCACCAGAATAAAAATAGCCGCTCACTTCAGAGCAGCTGACAGCGGGTGCCAGGCTGCCTCGGAGGAGGGGGAGAGGCTGAGAGGGAGGAGGGATGCCTGAGCTCGGGGCCCCTGCTGTGTGACCTTGGGGAAGTCACGCCTCCTCCTTGAGTCTGTTTCCTGAGAGCACGACGGGGAGGCAGAGATGTCCCCTACCCCGGGCAAAGGGACAGTGACATAACATGTGGCATTTGGCATCTGTGAGGAACCCTGGCGTGAAGGCTTGATTCCTTATGGATGCCCAGCGTGCTTCCTCCCCTTCCCCGCCTTCCCCCAACGCCTGTAGAATCCTCTACCTCTCCGTGGCCACTGGGTGGCCTCCCGCTCTGGGTGGCCGGGATCAGGGTGACCAGGACGTAACAGGAAGGACATTACCCCTCCCAGGAGCCCTGGGAGGCTAGGAGGGGAAGAGAGGAGGAGAGAGGAGGATGTGTGCACCTGCTGACGGTGTATTTACTCAGCCGAAGGGCCATCATGGCGTATGTCCACATGTTGCATCCTTTCAGGGACAGAACCTTCCACCAGCCGTCCTTTTGCACCTGCTGCTCCCTCTGTTTGCCAAAGCACTTCTCCTCCATTTGGCAACATGGAGTCGCCTGCAAAGAAGGAGTTCAGTGCTCATCTCTGGGGAGGGGGGATGAGAGGGGAATTATTCACTATCTCCATGGGAAGCCCCTGCTCTGTCCCCTACTGGCTGTGTGGCCCCTAGGCCTCAGTTTCTTCCTCTGTCAAATGGGTTCTTCTTTCCAACCTTCCAGGGTTCCTACAGAGAGGAACCAAGATCCGCATCCACCGCCAGCGCTCGCCTTTCCTGTTCCGGACCCCAGCCGCCTGCAGGTCAGCACTAAAGAGTTTCCGGAAGGGGGAAGGGGGCCCGAACACGCTGTACCCGGTGCCTCAGTGCACGCCCCGTCCCCCGGGGTGAGGGAAGGGAGGGAGCCAGCTCTGCGCAGCAGGGGGGCGGTTCTCCCTGGCAGCTGCCCCCGTCCGTCCTGCCGCTCTGAGCCCCAGAGCCTGTTATCAACCTACTTAGTCATCGCCCCAGCAGCTCAAATATAGCTCCTACCCTGCTCCCTTCTCGGCTGGGATCCGCCCCCCACCTTCTCCCCCGGCTGAAGCCATGTCTGGGTCTCAGAGTCTCTTTCCTCCCCCCCCCTCCCCCCAAGGGATACAACGACCCTGGGCCTCAGTTTCCGCATCCACCAAATGGGCAGGTTGGAGAGGATACTGACGAGGATACTGACGGTGAGAACTCCAGAACTTGCTCCCACCAGGCTCTGTACTGAACACTCCAGGTGTGCTGTCGCGCTGAATTTGCTGTTTCACCTCGCTTACACCAATCAGAATCTAAGTGGACTTTGCCAAGTAAGCCGAGACCAGAAGCTCGGAGAGGGCCCACAGGAGCCCTCTGCACACTCGTTTGCATGACATTTGCCTGGATTCCACCTGGCATTGATGTCTCTCCCCCCCCCCCCCCCCCCCCCCGCCAGAGCTGAGTCTGAGGCTGGTTCCAAGGGATTACATCAGAAGCCCAGTACTCCTGGGGGGAGGGGGGAGGGGGGAGAGGTGATCAGGGGAGTTGTGAGGGTGGGGGGGAGCACGGAAGCCTGTTTTCTCATCGATAAAATAGGAGTCCGAGGGCTGGACGAGATAAGCTCACATTCTCCTTCCCTCCCTGGTGGCCTGCCCACCACTCCCATGTCTACTCTCACCTCCTTCCTCACCCAGACCCGCACCTTCATCTCCAACTCCATCATCACCTCTTCTTCCATCCACATAACGCCCCTCTACCGCTTCTGGCCCATCTCCCCTCCACTTTTATCACCGCCGCCCTCCCCGTTACCACCACCCTCCATTCTCCCACCTCCACTGCCACCACCATCTGTGCCTTTGTTATCACCTCCTCTAGTGCCATCACCATGCGCTCCGCTGCCTCCTCCATCGCCGACCGCCCTGCACGTCCATCATCTTCTCCACCACGACCCTCAGCTTCCCCATTACCACCATCACCGCCTCCACCATCACCACCAAAACACCTCTCTACCTCCCCCCGAGCCCTGAGGGGACCTGGGTCTCCCCCTCGGTGAACTCCAGCCTCGCAGTGTCGCTGGCCCCCAGAAAAATAGTCTAGACCCGGAGCCGGTCAAGCAGAGGTGACAGAAAGGCATCCGTTCACGTGACTTCCACATGGGAAACCACATGGGCCTATGAGAACGCAGAAGCTCAAAGCTGAACATTTTCCTCCTAAACTGAGCAGGATCACGCCCAGCAATCCGGCCATTCTGGGGGGGAGGGGGTTGGGGCTTCCGGGACTGCTTAGCACAGTGGTTCTCATCCTTCCTAATGCCGAGGCCCTTTCATACAGTTCCTCATGTTGTGGTGACCCCCAACCATACGATTATTTTCGTTGCTACTTCATCACTGTAATGTTGCTGCTGTTATGAACCGTAACGTAAATATCTGTGTTTTCCGATGGTCTTAGGCTCTACAGCAGCGGTTCTCAACCTGTGGGTCGCCTAAGACCATCGGAAAACACAGATATTTCCATTACGATTCATTAGCAGTGGCACAATTACAGTGATGAAGTAGCAACGAAAATAATGTTATGGTTGGGGGTCACCACCACGTGAGGAGCCGTACGAAAGGGTCGCGGCATTAGAAAGGCTGAGAACCGCTGGCCTAGCAGATAAGAATGAGAATTGGAAGGAGGAAGGGGAGGGACCCTAGACATTCCGGAACTTTGTCACTCATTCCCTCTCCTCTTTCTTTCACGCGTCCATTCATTCAACAAACACTTCCCTGGGCCTGTTGAACATCCAGTCCTGGGCTAGGTGCCGGCCGAAGGAGCTCCCAGGACCCTCCTGCCGGTCCATCCCCCCACTTCTGGCTCTTCCATGCCCCGATTCCCTTCCTCCGGTACCCCAACTGGCTCGTACTGGTCTCGGGTCACTGAGGGCGCTCCCTTTCCTCATTGAATCCCAGGAGACCTCCTCAGCTTACTAGGTGACCTTGAACGAGTCTCCCTTCCAAACCACACCCACCGAGTCCAGGAGAAAGGAAAGCTGAGAGGTCCGGGGCTGGGACGGGCCAGGCTGTGGGTGGGGACGGAAGTGTCTGCAGGAAAGGAGGGGCCGAGCGGAGGCCGAGGTGGGGAAGGGCTCCAGCAGTGTTTGGCTCTGATGGGAAGAACAGGGCCGGGCAGGGGGCGGGCACCGAGGCCTGAAAATGGAGCAAGGGTGGGGGCCCAGGCAGGTCCTGAGCTGGCAGGACACCAGGAAGGTCACAGGATCAGGGTAGGGACTCAGGTGTCCCTGGGGCCCTGCAGAGGGTATTGACTTCGAGTGACTTGTCTCTACTTTACCCTCAGGTGTGTCCATGCCCCTCCCTTAAGCAAGGGCCAGCCAGGCCTGCTGATGGGGGGAGTGGGAGGGGACAGACAGACAACTTACTCCATGCTGCCCCAGATGGGACCCAGCCAAGCCAATGGGCACCCTTCCCCACACCCCCCATGAGGGTTCCAACTCCAGCAGTCCGCTGGAAGGGTCCCCAGAGGGTAGGCCACCTGGCCCTGGCCACCTCTAGGTCGGGATGCCTGTGCCTTTAAATTCTCAGCAGGTTGAAACGGCTGATGACATCACTGGTTCCCGGGAGCAGAGGAGCTGGAGCCGGAGCCTGTGGGAGCCCGGGCTGCCAGGGGCTGCAGACATGGAGGGCCACGGCGGCAGTGGCAGCAGGAGGCCAGGGACCCTGGCTGGCCTGGGCCCCCTGCCCATGCCCCACGGGGTTTTCCAAACTGGAGAACCCTCCAAGGTAAGACCCTTAGAGCCTCTCCATTCCTGATCCCTGGTCCCACACCTCCCCACACACACACACTGCACACACTGCAGCCACCCCGGTGCCCCCGGCTGAGGGGCTGGCACTCTCCTCTGTCTGTGGAGCAGGGGTGGGTGAGCAGGGCCACCCCGGGGCCTGAGGGGGCCGCCATGGGACACCCAGAGAGAAATGGAGTTCGCTATCTCCGGGAGCCCCCAGGAGAACGCTGGACGGGCGGTGTGAGGGGACCCCGCTGGGCTCCAGCTCTGCTGTGTGACCTTGGGCAAGTGGCTTGTTCTCTCTGAGCCAGTGCAAAATGAGGAGGTTTGTCCCTGAAGACGAACACGGGGACATCTGGGATGTCTGAGGAGTTGGTGATGGAGGCGGAGTGGTGGTTGCTGGTGGTGGTGGTGGTGGTGGTGGTGGAGGGGGGCGCACAGTGGGGTACCTGGAGCTGAGGAGGAGGGTGCCCACAGAGCCGAGTTTGGGGAGGGAGGTGGAGACAGAGTTTCGGGTTATCTGGACCGAGAAGGGCACGGGATGCGGGCAGACTGCATCTCTGGAGGCAGGCACGGGGCCACCCCGGGGCGAATGCAAATCTCCTGCCCTCGCTGGCAGAGGACAAGAGACAGATGGGGAAGAAAGAAAAAAAAAAAAAAAGAGGTCCCTCCAGGGGCCCGGTGACCCCCATTCTACCTGCTGGACAGAAGGAGGCTGCTGACCGGTCCGCACGAGTGGGGGAGAAGGGGACGCGGGGAAGAGGACATAACCTGGGCACAGAGAGGGGGGACGCCAGCACCAACGGAATGCTGGGCTTGCTCTGGATGTCAGAATCACACCTGGCGAAGGGAGCCCGTTCTGGAGGGCTCAAGCAGAATCCTAGCAAAGGTCGGGCTCATAAATGAAAAAAAAATGGGGGGAAAAAAGAGGCTAAGGTATTCCAGGAGCCAGGTGTGGCCAGGGACCCTTCCCCAAGCGCCTCTGTTTTACAGACGGGGAAACCGAGGCCCTGGGGGAGGAGGTGCTTGCCTGAGGTCGCACAGAGCTGGGCCTGGGACAGGCATGGCCGTTCTCAGCGAGGCTCTCGCTCCTGCACGGAGTTCTGGGGACGGGTGCGGAGGACAGGGAGGGCCGTGCCCGCGGTGTGGAGGGTGAGCTGGGGGAACCTGGGAGCTGGGGAAGGAGGAAGGCATGGAGCAGGCTGGACTAGGGGTCCGGAGCGAGCAGATCGGGGGTGTCAGGTCAGAAGCTCTTGGCCAGGGGAGCCGCAGAGATGGCAGGGATTTGCCCAGGAAAGCCGGATCCAGCCCCCCAACACTCCAGGGTGTGGGTGCCAGCCAGGGAGTGGGTGCCAGCCAGGAGGGTTCAGACTACCCTCTGCCTCATTGGAGTCAGGAGTCTTTGTTTCCCCGACTCTGAAAGGTGTCATTGAACTTGAGGGAGGGGACATGATTCAGTGTTCTGCCCCCCCCCCCCCTTTCACTCCCAAAGAGAAGCTGATTTGCGGCAGGATGGATTGAGGTAAGACAGGAGGAAGAACGTCCTTGGAAAGATGTACCTTCCTTAGCTAGATGGAGTCTCCTGGGGTCTCACAGGGAGGTCGGGGCCCAAGCCGCCGGCTAGGGTTACCCTGTGCCTTTAACTTGTCCTCTGCAAGGTGGACTCCAGTTTTCAGCTCCCGGCCAAGGAGAAGGCGGCCCCGGTGCCCCTGCAGCCAAGGCTGGCGCTGGCACCTCTGGGGCCGCGTGCGGCTGTGCCACCTTCCTCGGAGGGGCCGACTCCGGCATCTCCTCGACCTCTCCTGGCTCTGCTGCCGACCCCGGGCGGGCAGAAAACAGCCCTCGCCTGCCACAGCGCCAGCCCGGCTCCGGCGTCCGTGGGCCAGTTGGTGGTGTCTGCGGCGGCTGCTGTGCCGAAGCCTCTTCCAGCACCACCAGGCTCCATCCTGGCTCCCACATCCCCGGGGCCGCTGGGGATGTCTGTCCCTGACGCGCCCAGGCTGCCACCAGCCCCCCCGGGGCCCAGGCTGGCTCCGGTGCCCGGGGACCAGAGGCAGACGGCCCCCGCCTCCGTGAGACCCAAGCCAGTGCTGGCCGCCTCCGGCCTGAGCCTGAGCCTGGCCCTGGCACCGGAGGAGCCGCACCCACAGCCCCCCTCCCCGTCTTCCCCGATGCCCAGTCCAATTCTGTCGCCCTCTCAGGACCAGGCCCCGGCTCCAGCATCCATGGCACCAGCCCCGGCCTCTGTGGGACCGACACCAGCTAAGCAGAGGGATGCCCCCGCCCCTAGGTCTCTCCCCCCGAACAAAGGGCATCTGCAGCCATCAGCTCAGGTGCCCAGTCCTGCTGCCGTCTCCCCGCCTTTGATCCAATCTCCCCCAGACCCCCGGCTCTCCCCCTCCTTCCGGGCCAGGCCCGAGGCCCCCCGCAGCAGCCCCGAGGATCCGGTCCTGCCCCGGCCAACCCAGACGCTGCCCCTGGATGTGGGCCAGGGCCCCCCCGAGCCTGGCACCCGCTCCCCAGGACTGCTGTCCCCCACCTTCCGGCCAGGGGCCCCCTCAGCTCAGACTGTGCCCCCGCCTCTGCCCAAGCCGCCCCGCTCCCCCAGCCGCTCCCCCAGCCGCTCTCCCAACCGCTCCCCCTGTGTGCCCCCAGCCTCTGAGAAGGCCCTCCCCAGGCCTGGCACCCAGGGTGCAGGGCCTGGCACGCAGGGTGCAGGGCCTGGCGGGCGCCTGAGCCCCAGCTTTCAGCCCCGAGAAGTGCCAGCCCCGGGCACCACCTCCTCGTCGACACCCGCCTCCTTGTCTATACCCACCTCCTCGTCGACACCCGCCTCCTCGCCCTCCTCCTCTTGGTCAGCTCAGCCCACCTGCAAGAACGACCCCGGCTTCTGGTGAGGGGGCTGCTTCCAAGGAGGGTGGTGGGGGCTTGAGCCCCAAGACCTGCCATCCTTCCCGCCAAGGTGTACCGCCCCTGGGGAGGGTCTTCGGGGTGCTGGGCCCACTTGGGGACACTCGGGAGGCAGCATGCCCTTCTAAGGGACTCGCCTGCCCTTATCTCAACCCAGTTCCCCTGAGAGAGCCTGGAGGGAGGGGTACGGGCCCACTGAGGGTCCCCCTGAGGGCTTCCACCCACACCTGCCTCAGTTTCCCTCTCCAGAAAGAGAGAGCTCTGTCTGTGGGAGGGAGATTGGAGATGAGAGAGTGGCGCCCAGCAGTGACCCCTCCTCCTCTGGCACCCTCACCCGCCCCCCCCTCCAGGATCACTGTGGTCACGTGGAATGTGGGCACCGCCATGCCCCCCGACGACGTCACTTCTCTCCTCCACCTGGGCGGCGGCAGCGATGACAGCGACAGGACAGACATGATCGCCATAGGGTGAGGGGGCGGAAGGGGACTCTCTCTCCCCAGCCCCTTGTGCCCCTTCTCCCCAAAACCCTCACCCCAGGGGAGGGGCTTCTAGGGCGTCCTTCAACCCTCCCCCACCCCCTTCACCTCCCCGCCCCGCCCCCAGGCTGCAGGAGGTGAACTCCATGATCAACAAGAGGCTCAAGGACGCGCTCTTCACAGACCAGTGGAGCGAGCTGTTCATGGACGCGCTGGCGCCTTTCAACTTCGTGCTGGTAACGCCTCCCGGGCCCTCGGGATGGGCGGAGAGAGACCCCTGGGAGCCGGGCCCCCCATGGGGCTGTGCAAAGGGAGGACAGAGGAGGAGGAGGAGCAGACCTTAAGGGCGGGCCAGGGCCAGGGCCAGGGCGGGGTCAGGGTCTGGGTCAGGGACAAAGCCAGGGCCAGGGCGGGGACGCAGGGGTCCAGCCCCGTCCGTCCCTGGGCCAAGCCGCCTCCCTCCCCGCAGGTGAGCACGGTGCGGATGCAGGGCGTCATCCTGCTGCTGTTCGCCAAGTACTTCCACCTGCCTTTCCTGCGGGACGTGCAGACCGACTGCACGCGCACCGGCCTGGGCGGCTACTGGGTGAGCGCACGGGGCCCTGCGGGGCCCTCGGAGGAGTCCCCGGGAGGTCCCCCTGCACGGTGCAAGGCTCCTCCCCTCGCTCCCCAGCCCCGCCCACCACCTCAGCCCATTCCCCAGCCCCCCCCCCCCCGGTGGTCCTGGAGGTGCAGGGGGGGCCCAGGACCTCGCCCCTTTTGCTGGAACCCGCCCCTCTCCCAGCCTCCTCCTCCGCGGGGCTGGCGGTCCACCTCCCGGTGCATCCCGCCCAGCGCCCCGCCTCCGGCCCGGACCCCGCCCGTGACCTGCCCCGCTGCCTCCCCAGGGCAACAAGGGCGGCGTGAGCGTGCGCCTGGCGGCCTTCGGGCACATGCTCTGCTTCCTCAACTGCCACCTGCCCGCGCACATGGACAAGGCGGAGCAGCGCAAGGACACCTTCCAGACCATCCTGAGCCTCCAGCAGTTCCCGGGGCCCGGCGCGCAGGGCATCCTGGATCACGAGTACGGCCGCCGGGGCGGGGGGCGAAGTGGGGGTCCCCCATGGGCCGGGAGGAGCTGGATACTGTCCTGGGTGGGCCTGGAGGGGAAAGGCGGGGCGGATGGAGATGGGCCACCACCCGCCTAGGAACCCGAATGCCTGGGTGAGTTTGATGGATGGGACCCGAGCCTGCAGGGTGGCTCTGGGCTGAGGGGCAGCGCCTTCCTGAGGGTCTGAACCCCGCTTTCCGGGTGCACCGCTCTCTGCTGCTCCGGGGCGGGCTGGGGGCTCTGCGGCCCCCCGGCCACTTCGTCATCGCCAGGGGCATCCAGCCGTGTCGGGTTGGTTGGATGGGGGCGGGGAAGGATCTGGATCGGGCTCTTCTTCCACCCCATGGACCCCCCTGACTTCCGTTCCTCCCTCCCCCCCAAACAGCCTTGTGTTCTGGTTCGGGGACCTCAACTTCCGCATCGAGAGCTACGACCCGCACTTTGTCAAGTTCGCCATCGACAACAACCAGCTCCAGAAGCTCTGGGAGAAGGACCAGGTGCGGGGCCCCAGCCTGCACCCCCACCCACACCCCCTAGCACCCCGCCTGGGCTGGACCCCGGGCGAGGGTCCTGGCCCTCACCCGCCCTGCCCTGCCCACGCTGTAGTCCAGTTCTTCCCTTCTGGCCCCTCGCAGCTCAACATGGCCAAGGACACCTGGCCCATCCTCAAGGGCTTCCAGGAGGGGCCCCTCAACTTTGCCCCCACCTTCAAGTTCGACGTGGGGACTAACAAGTACGATACCAGGTGAGCTCGGCTCTGGGGTGAGGTGGGGCTGGGGTGGGGGCTGTGGGCTGAGGTCTTCCTAGATCAAGGAAGACAGGGAAGAGGGACGGAGGCAAGGCTGAGGGCTGTGCCTGCACCCCCTGCCCACCGCAGCGCCAAAAAGCGGAAGCCAGCCTGGACAGACCGTATCCTGTGGAAGGTCAAGGTTCCAGGTGGCGGTCGAAGCCCCTCCGGACAGCAGAGCCACTGGCTCCAGGTGACCCAGCACAGCTACCGAAGCCACATGGAGTACACCGTCAGCGACCACAAGCCGGTGGCTGCCCAGTTCGTCCTGCACGTGAGTCCCCGCCCCACCCTCTTCGCAGGAGGTCCCCAAGCCCAGCTCAGCGTCCGACAGCCCGCCCCTCGAACCCGCCCTGGGCGGTCCCCATGTGTTGGAGCAGAGAGGGAGTGGGGGTTTTTTTGTTTGTTTTTTAAATATATTTTATTGATTTTTTACAGAGAGGAAGGGAGAGAGATAGAGAGCTAGAAACATCGAAGAGAGAGAAACATCGACCAGCTGCCTCTTGCACACCCCCAACCGGGGATGTGCCCGCAACCAAGGTACATGCCCTTGACCGGAATCGAACCTGGGACCTTTCAGTCCGCAGACCGACGCTCTACCGCTGAGCCAAACCGGTTTTGGCGGGAGTGGGTTTTGATCTCCATTTTCATATGAGGACACTGAGGCTTAGAGACACAGCTGACCAAGGTCACACAGCTGGAAAAGGGGAATCTTAGGAATTGAACCCAGGTGAGCCTGGTGTCAGAGCCCAGGCCTTTTCCACTCATCTCTCTCTCTCTCTCTCTCTCTCTCTCCATATATATATATATATATATATATATATATATATATATATATATAATTGATTTTTTACAGAGAGGAAGGGAGAGGGATAGACATAGAGAGAGAGAGCTAGAAACATCGATGAGAGAGAAACACAATCCGCCGCCTCCTGCACACCCCATACCGGGGATGTGCCCGCAACCAAGATACATGCCCTCAACCGGAATCGAACCTGGGACCCTTCAGTCCGCAGGTCGACGCTCTATCCACTGAGCCACACCGGTTTGGGCTCCACTCATCTCTTAACTCCCTTCCTCCTTCCAATAAAGGTTTAGGCCCGTGGTCGGCAAACTGCCACTCACAAGCCACATGGGGCTCTTTGGCCCCTGGAGTGTGGCTCTTCCACAAAATACCACGCCTTGGGTGAGTCTGTTTTGATGAAGGGGCGTTAGAAGAAGTTGAAGTTTAAAAAGTTTGATTCTCAAAAGAAATTTCAATTGTTGTCCTGTTGATACTTAGCTCTGTTGACTAATGAGTTTGCCAAGGGCAACTTATGTTAAAATTCAAATATATAAGGCCAGCAAACTCAAAATGTTATTTATATTTATTTTATTTTTAATCCTCACCCAAGGACTGACTAGGGCTATTTTTTTTTTTTAATGAACCATCATGACATTTGGCATTATTACATGCCAGGCATAATAACAGTAAGGTAGCCAAAACCAGTTTGGCTCAGTGAATAGAGCGTCGGTCTGCAGACTGAAAGGTCCCAGGTTCAATTCCGGTCAAGGGCATGTGCCTTGGTTGCGGGCACATCCCCGGTGGGGGGCGGTGCAGGAGGCAGCTGGTCGATGTTTCTCTCTCATCGATGTTTCTAGCTCTCTAACCCTCTCCCTTCCTCTCTGTGAAAAATCAATAAAATATATTTAAAACAAAACAAAACAGTAAGGTAGTTATGGGAAGAGGGAGTCGAGATATTAAAAAACACAAAGCTGAACTCTAACTAGTTACTATAATGGAGCATTGTGTGTAGGGCTGAGGCCCTCGTTGCCAGCGCAGAAAGAGGAAATGCAAGAATGTCAGAATTGGACCCGGAGACCCTGTAACCCAACCGGATGGGGAAACAGAAACCCCGAGCGGGGTAGGCATGTGCCCCGGGTCCCACGCAGGCCCCGTGGCAGCGCGGGGCAGATTCCACCTTCCCAGCCCTGAAACCCAACTCGAGGCTCTCGGATCTCTCTCTTGATCTGATCGGGGGGGAGCCGCGGGCCAGAGAATGTTTTCCTTGATAACGCGGTCACATGGTCGGTCAGCGGGACGCGGGCCAACATTGGCAGCTGGGAGAGACAATCTGCCTGTGCCTGGCCTCCCGTGACCTTTGGCAAAGGGCTGAGGTGTGAGGTGTAACCCTCGCCGCGAGAACCACTCCTTTTGGGTGTCCTCCCCTGACCCTCCCTCCCCAGCCGGACTCTGTCCCCTGTAAAACATGGCCTGCTGAGCCCCGTGTGGGGCGCCTGGCATAGGCCCTCCCTTCGAATGCCTTCGTAGGCCCGGAAATGTCCAAATTCCCCTCCCGGTTTCCTTACCAGGAAAACGGAGGCTCAGAAGATCGGAGTCTCTCACCCAAAGAGCAACACGATCAGAATGAGGGGTGGGGATGGGGCTGTGTGTGTGTGTGTGTGGGGGGGGGGGGGTGATAGCAGAAGTTTTGACCCTTGGAGGCCATTCCCAAGAGCCCAACCTGGCAGCCCGATTTGGCGATGTGGAGCCCAGGGGCACGAGAGGATGTGATGTGTGTTTTTTCTGGAACCGTTTGGCTAAGACGCGGCAGGAGGGAAACCTGAAACCAGATCAACAGGAAGCAGACAAAAGACTGAGGCTGGCACCGCATGAGTCCTCCTCTGAGGGACAGAGGAGGGGCCGCTCCCCTGGCCACCTGCCACCCCGGCAGCCCCACCCAGGCGGGCGGGTGGCCCTGGGAGGAGGGTGCTCGCGGCTACGCATTGTCTTCCTGGCCCGGTGGCAGGGTCCTATCCGGAAGGGGAAGCTGGGCGTTGGGTTGGCCGGGGGGCTTCCGTGCGGCCACAGAGCAAGTGAGTAAGTAGCAGAGCCTAGAGGCGACCTGAGGCCTCCAGCCCTTTACCCAGGGCTTGTCTGGCCCACTCAGGGGCGCTCGGCTTCCCCCCCCACAATATCCAGCACACCGTGTCTCCCTTACCAGCCTCCACGCGTGTGGGACGCTGTGTTCTGGGAAGTGTACACGGGACGCTCCGCAAACAGTGTCTCGTTCAATCTGCCCAACAGCTCCAAGAGTTTAATAAGATCATCCAGGTTTATAGACAGAAGCCCTGGCATTCGGAGAGGTTGAAAAACTCACCAAGCCCTGGCCCGTGTTGCTCAGTGGATAGAGCGTCGGCCTGCGGACTGAAGGGTCCCAGGTTTGATTCTGGCCAAGGGGCACCTGCCCGTGTTGTGGGCTTGATGCCCAGTAGGGGGCGTGCAGGAGGCAGCCAATCCATGATTCCCTCTCGTCATGGATGTTTCTCTCTCTCCCCCTCTCCCTTCTTCTCTGAAATCAGTGAACATATATTTAAAAAGGAAAAAAAAAAACAAACTCCCCACGGGCCCTGCAGCCTGTCAGTGACAGCCAGGGGCCAAACCCATGGTCTCCGAACTTCGAAGCTGTGTTCTCAGTCACCCCTTAGGGTGGCTCTGAGCAGAGAGAGCTCTGGGCTGGGAGGCAGGAAGCCTAGCTTTCATCCTAGGCCTGCTCTTGCCTCAGTTTCCCCGTCTCCGTTGTAGCTTCAAAGGCCCTTATCTCAGCCTGTGTGTGTGTGTGTGTGTGTGCTGGCTCAGGCCCCAGGGTGCCTGGAACTGCCGGAGGGTCTTCGCTGATGTTGCCCCCGCCCCCCCCCGGGCAGTTTGCCTTCAGGGACGACCTGCCGCTGGTGCGGCTGGAGGTGGCGGAGGAGTGGGTGCGGCCGGAGCAGGCCGTGGTGCGGTACCGCGTGGAAACGGTGTTCGCCCGCAGCTCCTGGGACTGGATCGGCTTGTACCGGGTGAGGAGGGAGGGCGAGGTGGGCAGCGGCGTGGGGGGAAGGGAGGGCCCGCAGGAGAGCCCCTGGGGGGTGCCCAGGTGGGATCATGGCTTTTCCAGAGTTTGCTGCCACCCAGGGAGGATGCTGGGGTCAGGCCCTAGGGGTCAGAGCCCCGGTTCCTGTCCCCCCCCCTCCCCTAGGTGGGTTTCCGCCACTGCAAGGACTACGTGGCTTACGTCTGGGCCAAACACGAGGATGTGGACAGGAACAACTACCAGGTACTCCAGGGGAGCGGGGGGAGGGGGGAGTCCCCACGGCCTTTGGGCGGGGAGGGGAGCAGAGTTGGGGGGGGGGGGCTGTGGCTACCTCTCTGACCCCGACCTGGGCTTATGCCCGGGGCCCACCAGGTGACATTCAGTGAGGAGTCGCTGCCCAAGGGCCACGGAGACTTCATCCTGGGCTATTACAGCCACACCCTCAGCATCCTCATCGGAGTCACGGAGCCCTTCCAGGTGAGGACCCAGGCTGCAGGGCCAGGGGTGTCAACGTTCAAATGCCACGGCCTCTGTTTTTCACTTTTTTATTTTATTTTATTTTAAATACATGTTATTGATTTTTCACAGAGAGGAAGGGAGAGGGATAGAGAGCTAGAAACGTCGATGAGAGAGAATCATCGACCAGCTATCTCCTGCACGCCCCCCACCGGGGATGTGCCCGCAACCAAGGTGCATGCCCTTGACTGGAATCGAACCCGGGACCTTTCAGTCCGCAGGCCGGATGCTCTATCCACTGAGCCAAACCGGTTTTTTAAAAAAGAAAAAAATATATATATATATATATATTTTTTTTTAATTGATTTCAGAGAGGGAGAGGGAGAGAGAGATAGAGACATCAATGACGAGAGAGAATCATGGATCAGCTGCTTCCTGTATGCCTCCTACTGGAGATGGAGCCCACAACTGGGGCCTGTGCCCTTGATTGGAATCGAAACTGGGACTCTTCAGTCCGCAGGCCGACGCTCTGTCCACTGAGCCACACCGGCGAGGGCACATTCTCTACGTTCTGTTCTGTGGCCCCTGCCCGTAGCCTGACCTCCCCGGGTCTAATCAGGAGAAGTTGGTGTTGGTGAGGAGACATCGGTGGCCGGTTGGGGATCGGGCCACTCCAGCAACCCCCCTCCCCGCCAGATCTCGCTGCCTGCCTCGGAGTCGGCCAGCAGCAGCTCCCACAGCTCAGGGACCAGCTCGGAGGAGGAGGACGACAGCACCCTGGAGCTGCTCGCACCCAAGTCCCGAAGCCCCAGCCCCGGCAAGTCCAAGCGGCACCGGAGCCGCAGCCCGGGCCTGGCCCGCTTCCCCGGCCTGGCCCTCCGGCCCTCCTCCTGTGAACGCCGGGGCACCAGCCGCAGCCCCTCGCCCCAGAGCCGCCGCCTGCCCTGCGTGGCCCCCAGCAGGGGCAGCAGTGACGGAGGCACCCAGGGCTGCGACGAGGAGGGCCTCTCCGGGCTGCCTGGTCCCTGGACCCTCCCCCCACCTGTGCCTCGAAGCCTCGGCCTGCTGCCCGCCTTGCGCCTGGAGACTGTAGACCCTGGAGGCGGTGGCCCCTGGGAGCCTGACCAGGAGGCCCCGGCCCCCGACAGCCTGTCTCCCAGCCCTCAGGGCCGGCAGAAGTTGGAGGAAGGGGGCCTGGGGCCCTGAAGCCGGGGGGTGGGGTTGGCCGGCGGGTACAGGTGGCTCCCGCTCAGATGCAGCCTGTGAACCCACCTGCCTCGCTCCTGCTGCTGCTCCAGCTTCCTCCGCACCTGACGCTCGGTCCCCGCCGGGGATGGCCAACAGGGGTCCCCTCACCCTCAGTCCTGATGCCTCAACTGTGACAATCAGCAGAGCCCGGCCTAGGCCCCCATCTGGGATGGGAGAAGGGCAATCCTAGAGCTCATTGATTAGGAATTAAACTCTCCAGCCTCGCTGCCGACGCCTTCGTAACTTGTTAGCAGTCTGGGGGCGGGGGGTGGGGGCCGGGGGGAGTCAGAGGAAAGGACCCAAGGAGAGGATGGACGGATCTGACAAGCACCAGGCACCGGTATCCATGACACATGCCATCTCCTTTAATCGGCACCGCAGCCCTGAGTTGCGGTGTTGAGTCCCAGAGCAGCTCTTAGTCCCATTTCACAGGTGAGCAAACTGAGGCCTCCGAGAGGTTGCATGCGGCCTCTCAAAACCGGGCACCCGGGCACGGCTTGGCAGCGCGTTGGAGGGAGGGGGTACTGACGAGGTCCTAAGCGCTGGCCGTGCATCGGCTCGCATAACCCTCAGCAGCCCTCTGAGGTAGGTCGGTCCTAGGTATCCTGCTCCTTTTTAAGGAGGAAACCAAGGCTCAGGTTCTGGGAGGAGGCCCCTTGTTCTAAGGCACGGGAGAGACTGGAATTCAGGTTCCGAGCAGAGCGAGAGGGCCAGCAGCGGTTCAGAGAAGGGGGTCTCCCGGGAGGAGGGGAGCTGGGAAATCCCTCTCCGGTGCCCCCCGATCTTGGGTTCAGACGCAGGCACTCACTCCTGTGGCACCCCTCATTCCCTGCCCACTGCCTCCTCCCAGGACCTCCGAGGCTGCTGCCACGCGGGACCCCTGCCCCATTCCCATCTGGAGTGGGGTGCCCTGTCCAGGCCCCAGCCCAGGGCATCAGAACGAGCCTCCTGAACACCGCAGGCCGAGCTCAGAGCGGCTGGGTCACCAGCCCAAGGTCACCAGCACAGCAGGAGACACAGTCCGGTGTTTGGGCCTCGGCCCCCTCCTGAGAGCCCGGGCCACGCTTCCGTGTAACAAACGCGTGGAAAAGAGGCCGCGACCCCCAGGGCCTGGCAAAGCCACGGACAAGGTCCGGTCGGGGCCGTGAACGCTGGATCCCACGTCGCTGGTTCCAGGATGTCTGCGGCTCCCGGGTGCTCAGGCTGCCTGGGTCTGCTGCAGGCACTGGTCATAGAAGGACAGGGGGGCTTTGGGGGGCTCCGGAGGCCGGGCCTGCCCCCCCTCTGCGCCCGTGCCCCCGAGTCTCCTCTGCTGAAGTCGCTTTAAGTGCCGAGCGGACACCTTGACGGCCCTGGGGCCCCGGGAACAGCTGCAGGAAGAGGAAAGTGGGGCAGGCGGTCACCCAAGGACTCCGCCCTGCTCTGCGGGCACCGGAGCAGAGGGAGGCCCTGGGGGGCAGGGCTGGAGGTGGGGGCAGGGGGGCGGGGGGGGGGAGGGTGACCCTAGACGGGGGGCAGAATAAACCAGCCGGGCTCCCCGAGGCCTGGGTTCGGCTGCAGGAACCCTGGGCCAGGCTGGGCCTGTTCCCTCACGTGTGAAACAGGAAAGGTAGCGAGGGGCCGGCTTTGAGAGTCGGATTCAAAATGAGATTGTGAGGGAAGCCAGAAGGGTGTCCACGGGCCTCTGGCTGTGTGCGCCTCCCACACGCCTATAACCGTTTCACAGATGAGAACACAGAGGTGTGGGGAGCTGACTCAACTCGTCAGGCCACATAGCAAGTCAGTGACAGAGCCAAGATGCCACCCAGCCCAGCTGGTGTGGCTCAGTGGTTAAGCATCGGCCCACGAACCGGGAGGCAGGCCATGGTTCGATTCCCAGCCGGGGCACATGCCTGGGATGCCGGCTTGATCCTCAGCAGGAGACAGCTGACCCATGACCCTCTCTCGTCCTTGATGTTTCTATCTCGCCCTCTCCCTTCCTCTCTGAATTCAATAAAAAAAAAAAAAAAAAAAAAAAAAAAGATGCAGCCCATCTGGGCCAACTGCAGAGCTGAACCCGGGCACCAGGGGGCAGGGGAGGACAGTGGCGCTCAGAGGGCCCTGACCTCTGCCCCAGGTGCCCACGGCGGGCATAGGCCACCCACCCTTCCTCCCCTCCCTCCTGGCTCTGCTCCCACTTACTCTGGGCTCTCGGCACAGTCCGGGGGCGGGGCCAGCTTGAAGCAGGTGGTGCCCAGCAGCTCCCAGAGCACGTTGGCACCCAAGGGTGGGCTGTGGCGCCTCAGGGACCGTGCCAGTCTGAGGGCAGAGACGGGCTTAGGCTGGGGAACGGCCTCGCCCGCCAGGGGCCCCCTCCCAGCGCCTGGCAGGCAGCAGGCAGCAGGCAGCCCGCCCCCGGGCCGGAGCCGGCCTCACCGGCGGGTGCAGTTGCAGTGGAAGAGGGGCTCCGGGGCCCCGTTGAGCAGCCGGAACTTGGTCTCCCCGGGCCCGATCCGGTGCTCACACTCGTCCAGGTGGCGGAAGCTGCGGCAGGCCTGGCGGGCCGCTGGGGGCGGCGAGGTGGTGAGGGGAGCCCAGTCCCCCAGGGGGCGCCCCACCATGCCCACTGCCATCCAGGAGAAACACCAGCACATGGGCTCAGTCACACAGTCACACACACACATGTCACACACACGCACACGCACACACAGTCGCACACGCACGCACATGCACACATATGTGCGCGCACACGTGCACGCACACGCACATACAGTCGCACACACACACACAGTCTCACGCACACACACACACACACACACACACACACACACACGGGCACGCGCACACACATAGTGTGGGGGTGTCCAGAGCGCCCATGGTGATCAGAAAAGGCAGGCGTGGCTCAGTGGTTAAGCCAGGAGGCCACGTTTCGATTCCCAGCCGGGGCACAAGCCTGGGATGCGGGCTTGATCCTCAGCAGGAGGCAGCTGACCCATGACCCTCTCTCATCCTTGATGTTTCTATCTCGCCCTCTCCCTTCCTCTCTGAAATCAATTAAAAAACCCTAACCCTAACCCTAACCCGCAGGCAGAGGCTGCTGAGCTCGGCTGGGAGAGAGGAGGGGCAGGAAGGGACAGCGCTCCAGGAAGCAGAAGGAACAGCATGTGCAAAGGCCCAGAGGTCGCAGAGAGCACGTTGCTTTTGAGGGTCCACGGGAAGCTTGTGAAACTCAAGTTTCGACAGAGGAGCAGGTTTCACCGAACCCGTGCCCGAGGGCCCGAGGGTGTTGAGACATGGTCGGTTCAGGGGACAGGAGGCAGGGTGGGGGCTCAGAGGGCAGTGACACTGTCCAGTTGGAAGCTTATGGGAATCCCTTCGGCTGCGGTGAGGGAAGGAGAGAGATCCCGGGAAGAGAGTGGAGCAGGAGAGGAAGTAACACAGGCCCCCCCCCCCCCAGGCACAGAGGCAGGGGCACCTCCTCCCTTCAGGAACCGCCCCCCAGGTTAGGTTCTGAGCTCACCCTGAGGCTTTAGGCCACCCAGAGGCCCCCGAGGGTCCGGATGGGTGACCTCGGGAGCCTGGAGGGCGGCGGCATTGCCTTTGCTGGGGAGCCGGGGTCCTTCCCGCTGCGGTGGCCACTTCCGAGGGCGCTGCTTCTGTCCTGGCTTGCTGGGGGCGGGGCTGGGGGCACTGGGAGGCAGGGCCACAGCTGGGGAGCTCCAGGAGGCGTTGTAGGGGGTATTGGGCTGGAGGCGGGCGAGGGGGATGGAGCCGTAGGCCCTACACCTAGGAGGTGGTGATGGATGGCAATTGGTAACCCAGAATCCCCGCTTCTAGAAGGCCTCCCCCCTTCATCTCCATGGAGACCAAGGCTCGGTCAGCCCCACCCCTCATCCCACTGGGTTGTGTGGGGCACAGGAGGGAGGGTGGGGGATGTTTGCCTCCTGGGCCCGCCCAGAGGAGAGGACAGAGAGAACCAGGCATCGCCCCCTGGACAGACAGACAGCCTCCCTCCCCGGGAAAGGACTCCGAGGGGGCTGACACGTACCCGCCCCACCAGTACCAGGCCACGCACGCCTCCTGCTCCTCCAGCACAAAGCAGGGGGTCTCCAGCACATTGAAGAAAGCCACGCCCACGAGGTCGGAGACGGAGTCCCGCTGGCTCTGCAGGCACTGCCGGAACCTGCCACAGAGCCAGAGCCGGCACTCAGGTCCCCGGGCTCCTCCCCAAGCCCACCGGACACTACCGGCAGGTGGCGTGCATCCAAGAGTTCCTTCCCCAGCCCGGGCAGTGTGGGCTCAGCGTTTGAGCATCAACCTAGGAGCCAGGAGGTCAGGGTTCGATTCCCAGGCAGAGCACTTGCCCAGGTTGCAGGCTCCATCCCCAGGGTGGGGTGTGGAGGAGGCAGCCGATCCATGATTCTCATCCTTGATGTTTCTCTCTCTCTCTCTCTCCTTCTCCCCTCCTCTCTGAGACCAATAAAAGCATATCTAAAAAACAGACAAAGAGATCCTTCTCCCCTCAGCCCTCAGCTTTCCCACTTGCAGGGGGGGTCCCGGGCTCTGGAATCCCAGGAGCTGAGGAGCGCCGCCCCTGCCCCCTGCCCACCGCCTACCTGGCGTCGCAGTCGCAGTGGGAGATGGTGTGGAAACGGTAGTTCTGCATGCCGTAGTTGTACTGGAAAGGCGCGATGGCCTGTGGGCAGTGGTCATGCTCCCGGCAGCAGAGGTCGGGGCCTCGGAAGACACCTGTGGGGCGCGGAGGGGGCGCCAGCTCAGCAGGGTCCCAGGATGTTGGGACCAGAGACCCGGTGGCCTCAGGCGAGTTAGTCTCCCTCCGTGGGATTCACAGTTTCTTTTTTTCTTTTTTTTTTCTTTTTAATTTATTTAATATACTAAAGGCCGGTGAATGAAATTCGTGCATTCACAGGGTCACTCAGCCAGGCCTTGGGAGCCCTACATAATAAAAGGGAGCCCTTGAGCCCTAACAGGTTTGGCTCAAGGGATAAAACGTAGGCCTGCAGACTGAAAGGTCCCAGGTTCGATTCCGGTCAAGGGCATGTACCTTGGTTGCGGGCACATCCCCAGTAGGGGGTGTGCAGGAGGCAGCTGATAGATGATTCTTTCTCGTCGATGTTTCTAACTCTCTCTCCCTCTCCCTTCCTCTCTGTGAAAAATCAATAAAATATATTAAAAAAGGGAGCCCTTGGGAGATGTCCGACTGATGGCAGTTGAACATTCTTAGTGCTGCTGCTCTCGCCAGTGGTGAGCCCGGCTTTTAGCATCTGCCCCATAGTGGTCAGTGCACATCCTAGCGACTGGTCGGTCTGCCATTTGGTTGATGTGCACATTAGCCTTTTATGATATAAGATTTTTTACTGATTTCAGAGAGGAAGGGAGAGGGAGATAGAAACATCCATGATAAGAGAAAAAAATCACTGATTGGCTGCCTCCTGCATGCCTCCTTCAGTAGATCAAGCCCACAACCGGGCATGTGACCTTGACTGGAATGGAACCCAGGCCCCTCCGTCCACAGGCCAGTGCTCTATCCACGGAACCACACCGGCCAGGACAGGACTCACGATTCCAAAGCTTAACGAGAGCACCCAGGCACCGCATGGGCTGTGCAACCTCAAATGCAGGACAGCCTGCCCGGGAGCCCAGGCCCTCGGAAAGGTCCGCCTGGGAGGAACTGTGGGGGCAGACCCACCTAAATACCACGGTGAGGCCGTGACTGTGTGCGGAATGGAATGACAAACAGGCAGGGTGCAGCCTTGGGTGCTGACACGGCGAAGCATTGCCAGGAGGCCAGCCTGCCCCAGCTCGGACGCCAGGACCTCCCCCACCCTCCGCACACGCCACGGGCAGCGGTGCTGAGGGTGCAGAAAAGCCATCTGGGCCATCATGCCTCCTGCTGAGCGTTTCGCAAGAGCCCGGCTTCCCACACCCACGCTGGCCGCAGCCCGGCCGGCCAGGTGTCCCTTCAGGATCCTGGCGAGGGAACGGGCTCGCAGCGCGCGGACCTGCTAAGCTGGCCTGTGACCCCAGGGCCCGTGGGTCTCAGCGTCCGCCCCCTGGCCACTCTGTGGCTTATAAAACCTCCTCTTAGGACGTGGCGCTTTGGTCCGGCTGACCCCGGCTCCAGCCCGGCCTGGCCCCTCCCCGATGGTGATGATCGGGGACTCCCCGGTGTGAGTGGGACCTCTCCCATCTATGACCCCACTGAAGCCTCCCCTGATGGGACGTGGGGTCGCCCTCATTTTACAGAGAAGGTCGCTGGGGCTCAGAGTGGTTAAGTCACTCCCTTGGGGATGCACAGCCTGGAAGAGTGGAGGCCGGGGTGAAACCCTGAATTCCCCCCAACCCACAGCCCCCCACGCCCCCGTGTGGCTCACCCAGCTCCGTGGAGTTCCCCGCAGAGTCCCCGAAGCCACACCACAGGGTGCCGGGGATGGTCCAGCCTCTCTTCTCCCGCGGCTGCCCTGCCGCTCGCTTCTCCCTCCTCACTCCTGCCGGGCTCCGGGCGGCCACCGGCGGGCAGGCCCCCCGCCGCCGCTGCAGGGCGGCCAGGGCCCTCCGCAGCTCGGGGCCCGGGCTGTGCACGAAGAAGCCCGAGGAGGTCTCGCTGGCGCAGAGGGCGCTGAAGGCTGCCGTGGGCTCCGGCTCCTCCTGCCGGCGACAAGCCCGCAGCCTCCCGCGCCCATCCCAGCGGGCATGGACCACGGCCAGGCCCCGCGCATCCCTGCCCAGGAAGCTGAGGGACCCCCGGGGGCCGCGGGGGCTGGGCCTGGCCAGGTGGCAGGAGGTGCTGTGCCAGGGCAGGGCACAAGAGCCCTCCAGGGCAGCCCCCGCGAAGCTCAGCACCCCCAACAGTCCCCCCAGAAGCCTCCTCATCCCGCCCCGTTAGACAAAGCCCCTGGGAATGGGATGCCCGTCCCTGGCGGTCTCGGCAGCAGCAGCCCAGGAGCCCAGGAGCGAATGGGAACGGTGCCCCGCAGACCGGGAGCTGCGGGGCCAATGAATGGAGCTTTGGGAGGGGGAGGAAGGAGGGTGGCGTATGGGGTGATCTCAAGCTTGTAACTGAATCCACCCGCTGGACAGGCCGCTGATTGGCTGAGAGTGCGGGCTCCGAGGCCCACGCCCCCACGCGCCCGGCTTTCTCAGTGCCATCCAGTCACCTGCTGGCAGCCTGGACCGGGACTGCGGAGCCAGAGCCCCGGGGGCGGGGCCGGGAGAGGTCTACACCTCCTCCCTGGGGAGGGAAGGGTCCGAGGAGGCTCCTGAAACTCATCCTTATCTCTCTCCCCCAGCGGTGCTGCCATACACCTGCCCCGCCTCCATGAAGCCGCAGGGCCATGATTGGGTGAAAGAGGTGAGGCCTGAGGCTCTGTGTTCACAAACTCACCCTCCCCTCCACCATCTCCTCCCCTGACCTCCCCCCGCCCCCAAATTCTGGGAAAGGGATGCTTCTGGGAAAAAGGCAGGTGTGCCCTGGCCTGGCCGCCTAGGGCGCTCCCTCCAAATCCCAGTTCTTAGAAAGGCGCTTGGCATAGCCAGGGGTCAGCGTCCCCGGGATTCCTGCCACCTGATGTCAACCTATGAACCAGGAGGTCACGGTTCAATTCCTGGTCAAGGCCCATGCCTGGGCTGTGGGCTCCAGTCCAGGCATAGGCCTAGTTCAGAAGTCACTCTCGCCCTAACCGGTTTGGCTCAGTGGATAGAGCGTGGACCTGCGGACTGAAGGGTCCCAGGTTCGAGTCTGGTGAAGGGCATGTATCTTGGTTGCTGGCGTATACCCAGTGGGGAGTGTGCAAGAGGCAGCTGATCGATGTTTCTCTCCCATCGATGTTTCTAACTCTCTATTCCTCTCCCTTCCTCTCTGTTAAAAAAAATCAATAAAATATATTTCACTCTCCTGGTCTAATAGACAGTGGAAAGAGAGACAGCCAGAGCAGGACATGAGAGCTACATGGGGCAGGGCTGATGCTCTGAACTTGAAGAGACTAGGGTCCCCAGAGGAGCAGCAGTGGCCCAGGAACCTGAGGCTGCAGCCACCTCTGTCCCTGGACTGTGGCCACCTTGGGGATGTAGCAGGCATCGTGTCCCCCAGGGGACAGGGGTGGTTCATCCATCAGGAAAGAGCTATATCCTGCACATGTTTCTATGTCCCAAAGCCAATGTATCATTCAGCATCCCACCATCTAAAAAAGCTGGTATGGCCCGGCCAGCGAGGCCCAGGGGTTGAGCGTCAACCTATGAACCAGGAGGTCATGGTTCCATTCCTGGTCAGGGTCCATGCCCGGGGTTGTGGGCTCAATTCCCAGTAGGGGGCTTGTAGGAAGCAGCCGATTGATGCTTCTCTCTCTCTATCTCTCTCAAATCAATATATATATATATATATATATATATATATATATATATATATATATATATTAAAGAGGGAGAAAGCAGGAGTGCATAGGAAAAGCCTTTAAAACTGCTGCAGGTCTGACATCTATGGGGAGAGAGGAAAAGGGAAGGAGAGTTGGTACCCAGGCATGTGCCCTGACCGGGAATTGAACGGCAATCTCTTAGCTCATAGGTCAACACTCAACCCACCGACCAGCACTGGCCAAGCCCCAATTTAATAGTTTTAGTATGTTCATAGTTGTGCAACTATCGTTGGGGCACTTGCCTGGGATGCTGGCTTGATCCCCACTAGGGGGCATGCAAGAGGCAGCCAATCAGTGATTCTCTCTCATCATTGATGTTTCTCTCTCTCTCTCTCTCTCTCTCTCTCTCTCTCTCTCTCTCTCCCCCTTTCTTTCTGAAATCAATTAAATATATATATATATATATATATATATATATATATATTTTTTTTTTTTTTAAAGGGCTCAGAGGGAGATCTGACTGCAGAATGTGGCCCCTGCTAGACTAAATAATAACTCCCCCATATCTGCTAGTATAGCCAAGGACTCAAGTTTCGGAAGCACAGTTATATCTGTGAAGTTGCCCAAGGCTAATGGCAGAGGGGACTGGAGCTAGGACCAGGCCTTGAGCCTCTTGACACCCAGGATTCTCCTTGCTGCTCTGGGGTTTAGAATAGAGACCCAGACAGCAGCCCGAATGCCCCCACTGGGAGATGAAAGCAGGGCCCTACCTGAGCTCTCAGAATTCGGTCCAGTCTCTGCTGCCACCTAGTGGGCACCCAGAGCCGGCACCATCTAGAGAAACTCCTGCGTGAGGAATGCTCTTGGCTCCTTTCCTGGTCCCTTCTTGCACCTGCCTGGTCTTTCTTGTCTGCCCTCCGACTCACTGTCTGATCCGGACAAGCCCTCTGCCTCTCTGGCTCTCAGTTTTCTGTCTTAGGATAAGGGTTCTCCAAAGAGCCGCTGTCCTGATGGTTCCAAAGAACACAAGCCCGGCCAGGTCTGTCCCCTGCCCCTCTCCTGGCCACCTGGTTAAAGCCGGTCATGCCCTGCAGGATCTGAGCTTGGCTGACCTCCCCAGCTCCCCTCGCCTCTGCTGCAGCCACACAGAGCTACTTACTCCTCTTTCTTCCACCACCAGGCCTTCCCAGGCCCTTTGCACATGTTATGCTGTTTCCCTAAAACACTCATCTCTCCCCTTCACAAGGCTTGTATCGGTTTGACCACCCCTTACAGGAAGCCCTCTTCCCTGACACCCCCAACCTAGGGTGGGCAAGTGTCCTTTAGGTCCCCCTGAGGACTGACTGAATTCTCAAATGGGATATGGCCCTGCAAGAAGTCAAATAGCAGCCCATTTAGGTGAGGGGAATGGAGAAGGGAAACACAGTGGGGAGCCCTGGGCTCAGGGTTCAAATACCCGATTTCCCGCCCAACTCAGCCAATGACTCCACCTCTCTGAGTGCCTATTTTACATGCGAATAAATCAGATCCTGTCTGCCGGAGCACTAAACAAAAGAACTCTAATGTGCCGAAACCGGTTTGGCTCAGTGGATAGAGCGGTGGCCTGGAAGTCAGGCTGGTTCACTCTGCTCCTGACCCAAGTGAGCACCTGCCCTTGGTCAGCAGCGCCACCCTGTGGACAGTGCCCTGGGGTAGGTCCCCCGTGGGGCGGGGGGCAGAATTTAATGGACCCTGAGCTATCCTGGGTCAGAAAGCTTGACACCAGTGGCCTGTGGCCTAACCTTAGGACCCACACACAAAGAATGAGAGGAACCTGAGGCCCAGGGTTAGGTAACGCGCTTGAAGGCACACAGCAAGGATTTGCACATTTGCCCCAGGTTGGGTAACCAATGAGGTCATGCTCCTCCATGGAAGGGTTGGGGCTGAGGAGGATTAGATGGTGCTTCCTTCCATTTATTCTCCCTCCTGTCTGCACACGTGGTCTTTTTCTCTTTGAGCTTCTTGTATGGAAAAGGACAGACTAACCCCAGAGTGGGGTGGGATGGGGGTGGGGGTAGGCCAGATTTGGAGATCTGAATGCCTCAGCATGGACTTCCATATCTCCCTACCCCAGACCCTTCCTTTCTTTTCTTTCTATTCTTTTCTTTTTAAATATATTTTTATTGATTTCAGAGAGGAAGGGGGAGAGAGAGAGAGAGAGAGAGAGAAACATCAATGATGAGAGAGAATCATTGATTGGCTGTTTCCTGCTTTCACCCTCCCTTCATTGGGGATCCAGCCTGCAACCTGGGCATGTGCTCTTGACCGGAATCGAACCCGGGGTCCTTCAGTCCATAGGCCGACACTCGTACCCACTGAGCCACAACAGCTAGAGCCTTTCCTTCCTTTCCAGTCCCAACCCTTTGCCCATCTCTTTGCAGACCCCTGGCCCAAGGTGGGGAGGTGGCATTTCCACAGGAGCAGATTTTGTAGGCAGATTCCAATCTTGAGACTGTTACCAGCCATGTGGATGTTGGGGATGTTGCTTAATTTCACTAGGCCTCTTGCTCCTCATAAGTAATAATACTTGCTTCACAATTTGGGGTGAGGGTTAAATTGCATAAATCCCTGTGGCACATTAATGAACATTCAATAAATATCAGCTGCTAGTATTAGTATTAGTATTAAAGGAGTAAGTGGGGATGAAGGCAGGGGGGAGTTTAGGGCTATGCCAATGAGAACGTTCAGATGCTCAGAGCAAGCAGGGAAAAGAATCAGAACATTGCTACTTACTTTATTTTTTCCCCACTGGAATAAATATATTTTTATTCAGCACAATTTGTTGTAGGCATCAAATAATATGAAATCCATGCTGGGTTCTAGAGGACTAGATGCAAACCTCACCAACAGGGTTGCTGGGGCCTGAAATTACCTTAGTGTACTGAAGCAGAGAAGATATTTAATATGTGTTTGAAGCTGAAGTTCTCCCAAATGTGTCAGTTCCAATTTTGTTATTTCTTGGGAACGTTTATAACAACAAGAACATGCAGAAATAAGCAGTGCTGATTCCCCTACATGAACGTTTCGTAAATGTGGTTATCACTTTCCAGAAGAAAACACGAGAATGATCTCATTTCTGACAAAGGAAAAGTTCAACTCTCACCTTTAATCTGTCTTATAAACCCAAGGAGCAAAAGGGAATATAATCAGCAAATTTGTCTTTAAAATTTTATTTCATAGAGGAAAGGAGAGGGTGAGAGAGATAGAAATATCAACGATGAGAATCACTGATGGGCTGCCTCCTGCAGGTCCCACACTGGTGATCAAGCCCGCAAGCCGGAATCAAACTGTGACCTCCTGGTTCATAGGTCGATGCTCAACCACCGAGCCATGCTGGCTGAGTAGCAAGTTTGTCTTAATTGAAGCTGATGGCTGCAAGTCTGTCCTTAATGATTGTACTCCGTGACTTTTTTGAAGAAGGTAACAGCTCAGGAAGAAGTTTCTAAAAGTATACTGAGCTAACTCAGTGCTAAGCCTGTTCTG